AATATGTACCAATGATACATGACCTGCTAACTTCTGTAATTAATGACATCTTTTACACATATTATCTCTTCATGTAAAATACTCAGCATTTTATCATTTTCCTGAGTATCGAATCATGAGATTCTTTATTTAATAGACATAAGTTCCTAATTTATTGAACATTTACTTATTCAAGCACATTAAAATGCACTTGTGTAAGTTAGCTCCATTAATCAGCTGCATTGGAATATTATTTAGCAATTAAGAAAGATGCAGTTATTTATGATATATTGTGGTGTTATTAAATGAAACATCTATGCAATTAAACCTGCAGATTGGGCAACCAGTTAAAATGAATTGAAACTTTTTAAACAAAATCCATAGTTTAGTTTGGAGACTGTGCTCTCCCAGGATTTCTCTATTTTTGCTACTGGCAAGACAGTTGTTATTTCAGCATGGATGGCAGTTGCACATGGTCTCTGCACAATCCCCACTGTAGCAGATTCTGAAGAAGTTGCTCAGGAAATTAAATTTTCCATTAGGCAATTAATGTGCATCTGAAACCTTGCTAAAATCCCCTTCTAAATCAGAGAGGTTCTGTTGAAATTAAATAGTTACTTGGGAAGAGATAGTTCATTAAATCTATAGTATAATTCCTGAGTAAATACTAAACCAATCCCATACTCACTTCACAAACCCCAACTACACTTTCCCCAGACCTGTAAACCTCTCCCAGACCATTACCAGACACCCCCGCAAGAACCTGATTCCTCTATCAACTTGCCACTGCCCTGGAACTGACATGAAACAACCTGCGTGTTCCATGACTTGAACCCTCTACAGGACCAGAATGTATCTGACCCCACTGTTTGCAGAGCCAACTCCATCCTACAGTCCCATTTGACCCAACCCATCTCTGACTTGACAAACCCCCAACTCCCTAACCTAATTCTCCGAACCGCTGGTGGATCCCAATCAATTCCACCATCCCCTTCCCCTGCCAGATCCAACCTGGCTTGAGCACTCCCCTACCACTGGATCCATTCCGACCTGGTACCCCACCCAAAGCAGGATCTACAACCCATCCCCCTTGAATGGGCTTAACTTGATTCCACTGTACCTGCTCCTAGACCCAACCTGACTTCCACCTGAACCCCTAGGACATGACCCAATTCCCCAGGCCAGAAACAACTCCACCCTCTACCCCACCGCTGTTGTACCCAACCTAAACCCATCGAATCTAACCCACCACCACACCTATTTTTTAACTCATGGGACGTGGGCATTGCTGGCTGGCAAGTATTTTATTGCCCATCCCTTGTTGCCCTTCGAAGGTGGTGGTGAGCTGCGTACTTGAACTGCTGCAGTCCACATGCTGGAGGTTGACCTACAATCCCCTGAGAGAGGGAATTCCAAGATTTTGACCCAGTGACAAAGAAGGAATGTGATATATTTCCAAGTCGCAATGGTGAATGGCTTGGAGGGAAATTTGCAGGTGGTGGTGTTCCTGTGTATCTGCTGCCCTTGTCCTTCTAGATGGAAGTGGCTGTGGGTTTGAAAGGTGTTGGCTAAGGATCTTTGGTGAATTTCTGCGGTGCATCTTGTAGATAGTACACATGGTTGAATGTCAAGGAGCGGTGGTTAGATAGTCTCTTATTGAAGACGGTCATCGCTTGGCATTTGTGTTGTGCGAACATTATTGCCACTTGTCAGCCCGAGCCTGGATATTGTCCAGATCTTGTTGCTTTTGAATATGGACTGCTTCAGTATCTGAGGAGTCACGAGTGGTGCTGAACTTTGTGCAATCATTGGTGAACATCCTCACTTCTGACCTTATGTTAGAGGGAAGGTCATTGATGAAGCAACTGAAGATGGTTGGGCCTAGGACACTACCCTGAGGAACTCCGGCAGAGATATCCTTGAGGTGAGATGACTGACCTCCAACAACCAAGACCATCTTCCTACATGCCCGGTACAACTCCAACCAGCAGAGAGTTTGCCCCCTGATACCCATTGATACCAGTTTTGCTAGGCCTCCTTGATGCCACACTCAGTTGAATGCAGCCTTGATATCAAGGGCTGTCACTCTCACCTCACCTCTGGAATTCAGCTCTTTTATCCAAGGCTGTAATGAGGTCAGAAGCTGAGTATCCCTAGCGGAACCCAAACTGGGCGTCACTGAGCAGGTTATTACTGAACAAGTGCTGCTTGATAGCACTGTTGATGACATCTTCCATCACTTTACTGATGATCGAGAGTGGCACCATCCATACCACTGAAACCGACCTAGCACCGCCCCCAAACACATCCCACCCCCAAACACACCTCACTCTGCTGACTCGATCTGACCTTCTGGGAGCTGATCTAACTCAAACCCTCTCTCCCACTGGACCCGAAACTCTCAGACCTGACACCTAATCTCCCCATTCTCTGCCTGACATGATTTCTCCCACACAATTACCTACTCAAAATGCTGCATCACTTACCTTGTCACCTTGCATTCTGACACACTAACTGGCTGGCACATAAACCCCTACCCAGTTAGCACCCTGCCTCTATCTAACTAGCACCTGACTAACTTTGTACCCTACATCCTTTTCATCTGACTTGCTACTCACCTCGCACCATACCCTTACTCATCTCTCATCCTACTCCTGGCATCCTAAACCCTACTAAGGTGATACCTTGCTTACTAGGCACCTTACCTGATTTGCACCATACCAATCTGACACTCTACTCCTGTTCATCTGGCATCCTATGAGTGATACATTATACATTCCCTAGCTGCCACATGTCCCAGCTGGCATCCTACTTTCCTGGCACCCTGACACTTACTCACCTGGGAAACTACTTAGCTTGCATCTTAGCCACCTACCCATCTGCCATGCCAGCCTTCGAGCATCCTAACAACACACTTTCTATATGTATTTACAGTTTGACAGAAGCTGTCAGGGCCTTTAGGTTTTGGAATATGGCAGCTGACTGCTATGAAAAGAGGATGTTGTTTGCTTTCCTCTGACTACTTCCGCAGTGATGTGAAAGTACTGTCAGCATGGAAGTACTGCTCTTTGTTTCTGAGGAAGCACTCAGCAGAAACTACACTGAGAAATGTGGAACACAGTTCTTTCATGAAACAGAACAGCCAAAGTGGCAATCTGCATGAGATTACCACTCCTCAGAAAATCAGGAGCATTATCTTTTATGACAGCTGTAAATATAGACTATCAAATTTTAACTCCTATCACCTGATCGTTATGAGTGAGAACTTTAATGGACTAAAATAGGCAAATACTATAGACTAAAATGACTGCCATGATCACCTGACCACAGACTGTGACACATCCAGGAGAACAATGTTCACACTGTTAACTGTTCACACTGAAATTAAAGACGTTAAAATCAGGTAACTGAGCCATCATCCAGAAATTTACATCTCATGTGGAATATTCTGCCATGAAAGCAGTTGAGGCCAAAACATTGAATGTTTTCAAAAAGGAGTTAGCTATAATTCTTAGGGCTAAATGAATCAAAGGATATGGGGAGAAAATGGGAACAGGGTATGGAGTTGGAGGATCAGCCATGGTCAAATCAAATTGCAGAGCAGGCTCAAAGGGCTGGAAGGCCTACTCCTGCTCCTATTTTCTATGTTCTATGGCTAGAGGGCATATCTCACAGTAAGGGGTCACATATTTGAGATAGAAGTGAAGAGGAATTTCTTCAGCGAGACAATACTGAGGGCCATCAAGGTTGGCTCATTAAATATATCCAACTCCATACCCTGTTCCAGTTTTCTCCCCATATCCTTTGATCCATTTAGCCCTAAGAATTATAGCTGACTCCTTTTTGAAAACATTCAATGTTTTGGCCTCAACTGCTTTCATGGCAGAATATTCCACATGAGATGTAAATTTCTGGATGATGGCTCAGTTACCTGATTTTAATGTCTTTAATTTCAGTGTGAACAGTTAACAGTGTGAGATAGACAAAATTTTAATTAGTCTGGGAACTAAAGTTAATGGGGAAAGGCAGAAAAGTGGTGTTGAGGATTATCAAATCAGACATGATCACATCGAATGGCAGAGCAGACTCGAGCTGAATACCCTATTCATGCTCCTTCTAGTCTTATTTCAGAAACTGTTTTAAGCAGCAACACAGAGAGGAGGAAAATGAGCTTTGTTTTCACTACAGATGGAAGTTTCTCGGTCTGTTTCTATCAGCCTCTCAGAAGACAACTCGCTGGTGAAAAAGCACGTTGTGGAAACTGGTCAATGAAAACTCGGTATCTATAAGCTTTGTCATGGATGAAGATACCAGTGAACCACCAAATAACCATGATCTTTAATACCTTAAGGACTCTTAAGAGCATTTAAGCTGCACAGCCTTTTAAATCTGTGTTTATGGCTGCGTGTTTGAAGTTGTTTTATTATTTTTCTTGGGGTCAGTAATAAATTACCCTCTCTCTCACTTAAGAAAGCCTTGTAATTAGCTCCTTAATTTTGACTCGTGAGCTCCCTCTGAACTGAAACGTGATCACTGCAGGCTCAAAATAATTTGTTGGAACTGACGGAACGGGGTTTAAAAGGATGGGTGTCGAAACCCCCTCTTTATCTTTTCGAAACATATCATACACACAATTAACATTCAGACCGTAACTGATATATTCTGAAAGGCTTTGCCTACTGCTGCTGTGAACACGATTAAAATAAAACCTCTGCGTGGTTTGAAGCTGAAGAAAAACGCAATTTGACTTGAGGATTAGATCGAAACTTGTCAGCTCCCCGACTCTCCGAGGAGTTCATCATATCGATCGCGGATGTTGTGAAGGAACAGCAATTCCATAGGAATAAAGCGAGTTACATTTAGCTATATCTTAAATGCACGTATTCAAATACGCTAAGACAAAGCCAAGCCCATTTCACAGAAGCGAGATTGTTTACTGTAATATAATCTTCCCGGATTTATAAATCCTCTCTAAAACTTTTTTTTAGTTGAGGCAGAAGTTCCGGCTTGGAACAAAGCTTTTTTCACTGACGTTTGAACTTGACACGGAAGCCTGAACCCAAAGCTGGTTTTAATCTCTGCAGCGCCTCAATATTTCCTTGTTTTACGATACAAGGCAAACTTGCCAACACTGTGAGGAACACTGCACAGCAACGCCTGGCATAAAGGGGGCTTATGTTATGTTCGCCTCAAAAAGCGGTGTTGGGGATTCACTGAGATGGAAGACGTTCGAGCTTTGAAGATATAACTGTGCAGGCTTAAAGGAAAATATTCCTGCTCATTTGTATCTCAAGGTAGAAACAAGCGCACGTAGTTGTTGAATGCGATTAAGTTCATGTCTACATTTTGTTTTAACTGCAGCTTGATGTAAATGCTTCATCACAGAGTCCAGTCACAGCTCTACGAGAAGCTGACAGTGGTTCAGAACTGATTTGACGAAACACTGAATTTTAATTAGAGCTGGTTTGTCAATAACACTGACCGCCCCCCACCCCCACACCCCAACCCCACCCCGTTCCAGTTTGCAGCTCTGTGCTGATGAGTCGGGAGCCCCTTTGATAGACGAGCTAACGTTGCCATCTCTCCTTTTCTCACTCCATCCTGTGCGGGCGGTGCAGACATTCTCGCCAGTGTGCCACATTCCCCGCGCACTACTTTAAGGCATGGAGTCGCCAGCTTCAGATCTCTCCATTACTGCAACAGAACAGGCGGTTCCTGAAGCCAGGAACGGTCAGTGCGCCCCGGTATCTGGTCAGCCGAAGGAGAGGTACAGGATGGACAGAGACACCGAGATGAGGATCAGTGAAAGCGCGCAGTTCGGCGATACAGTGGAGAACAGAGGTGAGTGTTGATGACAACGATGGAGTGGGGATAGGGGCTGGAGGCTGGGAGCTGTGTCAGTGCTGGACAGCCCAGAGCAAATGGCTTGCGAATCATTCTGAAAACTTTGACACAGGCAACGCTTCACTATTAAATAGCGTAAAGCATTAACGGACTTCAAACAGAAAGAGAAAACCTTACATTGGAGCCATTTGGCAAGTTCAATGATTAATTCTTGATCAAGCTTAAATGTTGTATGATGCACCTTCAGGCGGTGACTAGGTTGTCCGCAGCACAGATACAATGAAACGGGTAAGGCTGTTTCTTATTATTAAAGCAAGTGTTCATTTAAAAAATAAAATGAAATCACCAGCCCATCAAGAGCCCACTGGTCTCCCCAGATTTAAGATGCTGGTGTAAAATGTACAGTCCATCTCAGTTTATACCCGCACTCACCTGGGACCATGACAGCAAGCACCAGTTAAAACATTCAAATCGCGGAGGACAATTCATTTCTGCTTTGACCTTTCTCATAGGTTTACTGGAAAGCAGCCAAAAGCTGAAACCCCACGAAGCTCAGAGCTACCGCAAGAAGGCGTTGTGGGTGTCCTGGATCTCGATTCTTATCACTCTGTCTCTGGCTGTGGTAGCCTTCAGTGAGTACCCAAACATGTTGCCCTGATCTTACAGACTGCAGTTTATCAGAGCTCCTCTAACCTTTAAAAGATAATGTCTCTTGTCTTCAGATGGACCGGTCTCAATAAGGGAATGAGTAATTCCTATCAGCGAAGTGAGGGCACCGTAAAGACCAAAAATGATGACGAATGTTGATATTTTGGATGTTTGTTGTACTATTGTACTGAGGAAAATGTTTCCTCCAATCTCCATCCCTTTACCAATTGTTTTATTAAAATTTCCTTCAATTAATGTGATATGTGCACAAGTGATTGGGAAATAAGTTTTCTTTTAAGGAATGCATCATTCTCAGCAAGATGCAGCCTTTAATAGCAAATAAAAACTTTGACTAAACAAAGAAGCAAATCCTAGTGAACCAGGATGTCAACATAATGCTAATGTCTTTCTATTGCAGTTTTGGCTTCTAAAATTAAAATGCAGTTATCGTTTGTGGTTGATCGGAAAATGCAATAACATTGTTCTTTACTGGTCTTTATTAGTTATTAGTATTGCTCGCCAAGTGTTTAGTGAAAGGTCCCATTCTCTGATATGCTACAGAGAAGGAGTTTACAGTGACCTGAGCACAGTTTCTGAAAGAGTACACACATATTACATCTGGAAGGTCTGTGTCTGATTTGGTTTTGATTTTGGATTGAAGACAGCAGAGTTTGAAAAGTTACCAGTCTGTTCTGTAAGTGATTCCCCCACATTTCGGTGAAATGCTGGAAGTGAGATTTGCAGCAAGGAGAATGGAGAAAAGAGTTGGAGCGATGACACAGCTCACACACAGCCTTGTTGGACTTCACTTTTCACAGAGATAAGGTTTGTGGCAGTTGTGATGATGAGGTCGATGGCTTGCATGGCATGGAGTGATTTTTGAGGGTGACCAAATTTGAGGAGGATATTCCAAAAGACTTTGCAGTTGACAGTGTCTAAGGCTACTGTGAAGACTATCTACGGTGATTGGACTTAAAGTTCCTTGCACTTTTGTTGAATTAGATCATCTCTCCAACTAGCACATCCCCCTAGTTAGTTAAAGATTAATGGTGAGATCCTGGAAAATAGGGACTATTTTCTGTATGTTAGTAATCTTCTAATGATGAAGGCGGACTTAGACAACAGGGATGATGGCTGACTAAGAAAATGATTTGGCAGGGGAACGGGACACAGAGCAGATGTAAAGTCACGAGCAAGGTCCAGTGAGATGTATAAGGACAGGCCAGTGGGTAGAAAAGACATGGGCATCAATTAGGGACATGAGAGGTCTGGATGTTCATGCAAGGACCATGACTGGTAAGGCGGGTGAACTTAGGAGCATTGATCAGCACGTGGGAATATGGTATTGTTGCAATCATGGAGGGAGGATAGGACTGGCAGCTTAACATTCCAGGATATGGAAGTTTCAGGTGGGATTGGGGGGAGAGTAAGAGAGGTGGGGGCATTGAATTTTTGTAAAGAAAACCATCACAGCTGTAATGAGGGAGGACGTCATAGAAGGGTCTTCAAAGGAGGCCATCTGGGTACAGCTTAAAAAGAAAAAAAGGATGATTACCTTGCTGGGATTATACTACAGGCATGCCAATGGTCAGAGGGAGATAGAGGAGCAGACACGTAGGCAAATCAGAGAAAGGTGTGAGAGAACTAAGGTTACAGTTGTGGGGAACTTCAACTTTCCTAACCTTAACTGGAATCAAACGGGGTGGAATAAGCATGCAGGAGAGCTTTTTGTGCCAATATGTAGGTAGTCCATCGAGCGATGGGGCAGTGTAGATCTACTCCTAGAGAATGAAGTCTGTCAAGTGGTTGAAATGTCACTGGGCAAGCATTTTGGGAATAGTGACTATAACTCTCTAAGTTTCAAAATCATTGTGGAAAGGGATAAGGACAGTGCAGAAATTAAGTGTTGAAATTGGGGAAGGCCGATTTTGATGTCATTCAACAGGATCTGGCAAACATAGACTGGAAGCAAGTATTTGCAGTTAAGTCTACAGATAGAAAGTGAGAGTCTTTTAAAAGTATTACAGAGAAAGTCAGGACAGTGTGTTCCTCTAAGAGTGAAACACAAGGGCGGAAGTCATGAGAACCCTGGATGTCAAGGGATATTGAGAATTTTGCAAAGGACAAAAAAGGAAGCATATATCAGGTTTAGTGCATTAAGAACAGGGGGAGGTCCTTCAAAAGTATAGAGAGTGTAGGAGGTTGCTTACAAAATAAATTAGGACGGCAAAGAGGAGCTGTGAAATATCTTTGGCAGATGGGACCAAGAAAAGCCCAAGGCTTTTTGTAAGTATATTAAGAGTAAAAGGATTACCGGGGAAAGGATGGGACCTATTAGAGACCAAAGAAGCAACCTGTGTGTGGAGCTAGTGGATGTGGGTGAAGTGGAGTTTATACATTCTCCCTGTATCATTGTGGGTTTCCTTTGGGTTCTTTGATTTCCTGTCAACAAAATGTGGCCTTGATGTCAAGTGCTGTCACTCTGACCTCCCCTCTAGAAGTCAGCTTTTGTGCCCATATTTGAAATAAGACTGTAATCAGGTCAGGAGTTGAGTAGTCTCGGTGGAACTGAACTACTGAAAGACTGATATGTATTTCACATGGAACGTTTCTATCTTTAGACTTCCCAGGAGCTCCATCTTTATGCAAAACATTAAAAAAGTTGACTATTATTTATCAAATATTTGACAGATTCTGTACTCTGGAACCACCTACAAATTTCCCTCCAGGCCACTCACCATCCTGACATGGAAAAAATCACCATTCCCTCACTGTCACTGGATCCAAATCCAGGAACTTTCCCCCGAATAGCAATGGGGTGGGTCTACCTATACCAATTGGACTGCAGCTGTTAAGAAGGCAGCTCAGCACTACTTTCTGAAAGGCATCTAGGAGTGGCCAATAAATACCGGCCCAGTCAGCAACACACGCATCCCGTGAATGAATAAAAATCTCTGAAATATCTAATAAATTTGATGACAGATAAGCAACTGTGCCCGATATTTCTATAGCAGGAGATCAAATGTATTAATCTTAATTAACATTTCATCTTTTGTTCAAAAATTTTAGTGCACAAAATTTGAACAGGAACAATGAGGAAAAGAATGAATACTGCAACAAAAACTCAAACTTAAGTAACTTAACTTTAATGTATTTGTTTCAAGGCACTTTCCAGCAGAGTTATCAACAAAATGTGACATATTAGGACAGGTGATCAAAAACTTGGTTAAATAGGCAGACTTTAAAATGTGGCGTAAAGAGATGGGAGAAGTAGCAAGGTGAAGAGGTTTAGGCACTGAAATTGAGCATTTAGTACCAAAGCAACTGAGCGTTCAGTGTGCTGTTTTGGGAATGTCAAGTGATTAGAATTAATGAGCATAGAATCTTAAAGGGTTATGGGACTGAAATTACAGAGATGGAGTGATGAGGCCAATGAAAATGATGAGAATTTTTTTAGATTAGGAATGTGCAAGAGGTCTTAATTAGGCAAGTGCAGAGATTGGAACAGGTTCATGGAATAGTAAAGGCTGCAGAGCTTTTGCACTGTAAGCTCTGTATTTCAGAAAAATATTCCTTTTCATGTTATATATTGAACAAACCAAATTCATTATTCCTCTTACATTTTTATAACTTGAGCATATTGTTGTGTACATCCATATAAAATGCATGGGTAAATGATCTAAGAAATGATTTCGCTTGTGCTTTCTCATGAAACTCAAATATTAAAATATAGTAGTGGACTGTTTTCTTAAGCTTCAGTAAGAACAAATATTTTAGTTTTTTACGTTCTTTTAAATTTTTATTCTCAAACAAAAACAAATATCCATTTTCAGGTAGGACTAAATTTGCTTCTGAAAAGTGCAAATTCTTTTCTAGATATTCAAATTTTATTCAGTCAAAACCAAAATAATGATCATTATTTTAACTAGAAACTTGGCTTTATTAAAATTCAGATATTGATGAATTATGTTTCAAGAAGACATATTTATTTCAAAATAACCAAAGTAACCAGATGAAATGCACAATGAATTAAGCATACAATAAACATGCCAGTTTACAAGGCTCTACTTTCAAGAGATTTATGTAATGCTCAACACTTAACAATACCTGCAACAGATTATGCCCCATCTGTTGATTCTAAATAACAACTTGCATTTATGTAGTTGCTTCAGTTGCAGAGCAAGAAAGAAATGGACAGAGAATGTTCCTGTTATATTTAAATATTGATTGAATGCTTGATTCTCACTGCATTTTTAAAGCAGCTTGGAGTTAAAAATGATATTGAGGGTTTAGGAATGAAATTCCACATCACAGAGCCAAGATTCTAATGGAACTGTCACTAATGGAACGGAGGTGTGAAAGATGTACAGTACATAGGTTAGAGTTAGAAGAAGGTGACATCATGACACATGAGATGTAAGGTAACATAGGTATGGACATTTTGTATTTATAGAGGGTGGAATTCACGGAATTTATGGAGGGTGGCCAGTGACAAAGCAAACTGGCAAAATCAAATTCAAGATGATATGAACATCAAAGAATTAATCAGTCACAGGTATGAGGAGAGGAGGGAGGAAAAGATATTGAAAATTTCCTAGTGATAGATTGGTATTAAGTTTGAAACACAGAGTACACAGGAGCTGTGTAAATTCCAGAAGAAACTTGCTGATATGATGGGTCCATTGCCAGAGAGTGAACTAAGAGGAGGGTTATCTTTACTAGTATGGTCATATCATTTCATCCATGAAGGAATTAGCAAATTTCAAGTCATTATCGGTGTCAGTTAAAGATAACGCCATACAGGATACATGAGATTTATATTTTTAAACATGCAAGAAAATCTGTTTACCAGCATTAATGCCAGAGGTATGCATTGATGAGCCATCTTTGGTACATTGCTTTTTAAGGAAGAATGAGAAAAAGTGTTCAATGTTATGTGTTATTATTCTGAACAGATTGATTAACATGCACTATGTTCTGTCAATTGTATCTGACCAAATTACAAAGTTAAAATCAACATCTGAATCAAAATGGCGATAATGCACAGAAACAGTGAAGCGTTTTATTTTAGCAGAGCAGTGAGCGATACTCATCTGTATCGTTGTGGATGATACGGTTGTTAGTCAGTTATTGTGGACCCTCCTGTT